AGATGTGCTGTTTGGGGTCAGTTTATCGTTGTTTAGGGAGAAAACTACTTTGCTGAACTGAGTACGTGCTCTCCAACTTTGGATTCTCAAGAGATCGAGTCGTGTGCATTTCTGTAATGAGGAAACGCTGTAAATAAATTCTAAATGGGTGCATATGACATTTTAACGACTTCTTTTGTGTGTTCTTATATATTCCACAGGTGAGACCGAAACGTGTAATAAAAAAAAAGCCTTCCTAAAAACCAGTCAATCCTGTTTTACGTTCTCACGTTAAAGCTACAAACATCGATCTTACACAAGCATGAAGCTGCAAGAAAATGCCACCGGATGGGGAAGAAATCAATTTCACCCTTGATTTACTTTAAGTATACAGAAAACTGCTTTGTTTGTCTGCTTCTGCCCCTTTTACAACTTTTTTTCTTAATCTAAACATCAGAGTTTTCTCATCTTAAACGGAGCGTTTCCTACATTCTTTCCTCGCACTCAAACACCTTTAAGAAATAATAAATATCAATCAAATACATTGTAAAAACAGAGTGTAAGAATGTAACATCTTAAAAGACACACACGTATCAAATAGTTTCGCCTCCAAATACTTCAGACGATTCTGTCGTAAAAACACCAAAACATTTTTATCAAATAAGATGCATGAAAACTATACAAAAACCTTGACATTTTCTACACAGATTAGAACCTGAATGACTGTATGCTTTTTTCATTAAGTCATGGATCTGTTGAGCCAATGTAATGACAGGAAGTTTGATCTAAGGGATGCTCGACGTCATGTTACAGTGGACACAGGCTTAACAGAAAGATCAATGTATACTCCAAAGATAATGATTAAACGAGTCCATTTTTACTTTCAGCCTGTTCAACCAAACAATCATTGTTTACATATTCTTGAAAACCAAACCCTGAGTGATTTATTTCTAAAGAAAAGTATGTACATATGCTTTCAAATAATGTGTTTGGGGGATAGTTTTATGATAGTTGTGAAATCGTGGCAGCTTCAAAGTGACTCATGGTGAAGCGTTTGATGATGATAATAACATACAGCATTATTTTCTCAATGTTTTCCAAGAACTCAATGACATAAATCCCACTCCTCCCGTAAAAATGTTCCCACCGCTGTTGGGTTTGGTTTCCCTTTTACTTTTCAGGTCTTCAGATCGTCTCAGACTCACCCTGGACCGAGCTGGGTCACGTGGGGTGGGCGGGGGGGCGTGCTCAGGCTCCCCCTGCGGCGGATTCTGGGCGGCGGGGCGGAGAGCGGGACTCAGACCTCTCAGATACTGTGAGCAGCTGGAGCCGCGTCAGGACCTGCAGACAAGAGAAACTCCACTGAGTGGTGAGCAGGTTTTAGAGGACACAGGAAACTTTCAAACGCGCCCCTAATCAGGTCTTATACTGCTATGTCATTACAGTACGATGAAAAAATGACAACTTACCTAGATTTTGAGTGAGATCCTTTTCTATGCTCGTCTCTATTGACGAGCCGGACCCATGATGGTCTCACACGATCCGATTTGGATGGGGAGAGTGTCCCCTTTCGCCAAAGCACATACACAAGCTGTACTTTTTTTGTTTTTTATGCTAAGAAACACAATCCAGCACAGAGTTTTAAAAATGTAGAGGAGCAGATTTCACACATACAGGTCTAAAATGCCCAGTTTATTTACCGTGGAGAAAGTGGTGGGTAATCTTTCAGCTTCAGTTAATGTCTACTTTGCGATATGGCACATAAGCAAACATACAAGTATACAACACATTTACATCAAAGTCCACATAAAAAAATAGAAAGAAAATTTACAGACATGCATTTTTTTAAAAACATTGGACACGAGCATTGAAAATTAAATGCTTTTGTGAGATAAACGTATGTCTGCATAACCGGGAAATACATTCCTCCTTCCAACCATTTACTCACTACAACCTGCTTTCAGGATTTACATCCTTCTTCCATCTTCTTTATTCGGTTTTCACATTTCCTGACTTCAGGTCTGCTTTATTTGATCCATTACTGCCAGTCCGCGTTCCCAAAAACATTCTTCAGGTCATATTTCCTCCCTTTCCCTTCCACGTCCTGCTCTGTAAGGCTTCCCATAAGTCTTCATCTATCTTGAAAACTGTCTTCATCCCATCTGGAATAAAACCACACGTTCAGGCTCAATAACCCTGACGAAAAAAAAGAGCATTTAATGAAAATCAACATTAAGGTTTCAGTGATGGAGAATACCCCTAAACCACATAGAAAACTAGGTGTAGTACATGTACACTGTTGTGAATTATAGAAATGATAACTCAAGCCAAATCCGAACCGCCCTGCCCTTATTGGAAAAAGGTGACTGGCTCATTAGCTCCAGCACGAGGAGCCTGAGGATGTTAAGCTAGCATCTGGAAAATGCTCTGTTCGCTCGAGGCAAATTGTTCTAACAGGTAATGCGGTCTAATGCAATAAGTCCCGTCAACCGAGCGCTGCTTTTAATTACCTGGTGGTGACACGAGCTCAAAAGGACACTTATGGGAAGCAGCACAAAAGAGAAAAGGGAGAAAAAAGGTTTATGGTATTTAAAAAAAATTGCAACAACTTACGTGTCTGTTATAGTGTCCAAGCTCTGCTTCGCTCATTTCAGAGTAGCTACCTAAAAGAAGGTTTTTCAACTAAATAAACAAAAAGGACAAAAAAGCATGTTTTCATTAACTGGTTATTAGCTAGAAGATGGCGCGTGAGTGGGAAGGTTTGTTTAGGCATCGCAGAACTGACGTCATCTCCCGTCAGGGGAGCCACGCCTCCTTTATGTTGAGCGTGCTGCGTTTACTCCGAATTAGAAAAAAAGAAAAGAGAAATGTAAGAATTGGATCGAAGGCAGGGGCGAGGTGGGAGGGACGCTGGTCTGTGATTGGTGGTTAAAGGAGGCTTGGTCCTGTCCCACTGCTGATACAACGGGACACCAAACGAGCTGTTGAGTCATGTGGTGTTGCAGATATCAGCCATAAAGTATACATTCAAGGTCAAAATACCATAGCAAAAATGTATTTTTTTTAAAACGAGATACATATATTTTAGAACACTGAAAACACTATATTTGAATGTGTCTACTTGAATCTTGACATCGCTCCTCTTCTCTAGCTACACAACAGCAGACCTTTAAAACAGAGACACAGCAATCTGATTGGGTCTCATTACATCTGTGGAGGCAGAATCCTTTCCTAATTCTCCATCCACAACCCACACAGCCTAAAGGGTCCATAATTGTCCTGGGCTACACACGGTGCAGGTTGAGGTTAGATATTAGCGCACAGGGAGTCCACGTTCAGAACACTACCGTGATAGAAAAGGCCCCCGGAAACCTATATCGAGCAATAATAGGAAATATTTTACATTCAAAGCAAAAAAAAGTGAGCCTCCTCAGTATTCAGGTGCTTGAAGAGAAAATACAACCTGCCTAAGGGTTTTTACTTTAAACAAGCGTCTTGAATCAAATTAAAAAAGCAGCTAAATCTCTCTTGCAACTCAATGATACAATAAGATTTGTCTTCAGGCCATAAAAATAACTGCTCTCCACGCTTATACTGCATTCCATATTCATCAACAATCTCATCTGAGGGACAACTTATTTGAGGGTTATCTTTTTCTGCTCCCCATATACAACCATTTGGAAAATGACTTTTGATCTTTTCACACACAAACCCCATTTTGGACAATTGAAAAAAGGCAGAGGAACCATGTATTGTTAGGTACGCAAAGCACGTTCAAGTGTGGGAGTAAATTGTTTTCCATGAGGTGGATTTATTAGTAAAGTTGTTTGAAAACAGCTGGTTTGTTCATGGTAAATCTCACTGTAGCATTATGGAGTACATTCACGGCATCACACTGTGCAGATGCAGCAGAAGCGTTATTGAATAATTTAGTCTTTGCAAGGCTAAGTGTCTCAGCAACATTAGTAAGCAGACTTTGAATTAAGTTTTCTTGCCCTGTATTGACTTTGTGGTGTTCCACTGCCAAATCACGTTGCTAAAAGCACGTCTTTTCCGTATAACAGAACGCTATCACACTAATAAGTATCATGAATAAGCCAAGAGAGATTTCATTCCTCTGGGGCAGACGTGGTGAGGTCTTTTACCAATTTATCAGCATTGAAGAGAGAGAGATAAGGAAGAGCAGGATGATGATGATGATGATGATGATAAAGTCCTCCTGAAAAGACCAAAAGAAATCAACCTAATATTTTTTAGAAAGTTTTCAGTCACAGTGTAAAAAGCACCCTGAACATGAGTGTGTAGGTCAGTCCTCCTGACATCCTAACAGGACAGCAATACATTCAAAATTCCTTCATCGTCTAAATGAAAACACTTGTGAGCATGGTGTGCAGCAGCCGGTGGGCTTCAGGTGAGGCACAGCAAGCACACACGCACATGTACACCATCATCCTGTTGTTTTCCAATCAGCCCATAGCAATATCACATACACATCTATATTGCCTTTAGTTAAGTGCAAAAAATATTCTTTGGGTTACATCTTCTGAGCAAACAGCACAGTTTTATTTATGCTTAATATGAGCAAGCTAGATAGTCTCTTTTAATCTGACCAAAAACGGAAGTGTAGCTTTTCCTAACCGTTGTAAGTTTACAGTTTCGATCAGCATTTTTGATATCCTGGTGCAGCCTTGTAAAACTCCTTCTGACACAATTGATGGGAAGCATCAATTTGAAAATCATTTCAAATTCAGTCTTAGTTATCTTTTCATTTAACAGTCAATAGATTCAAATATCGGAAAAAACAAAAAAGTATGTTAAAGAAAAGCAACAATAACTCAACAAAAATGATTGATAGGACACTCTTGATAGATCAGAATGTAAAAAGCAAAACAACACAGAGGTCGTCTGCTCTGAACATTTTCTGAAATGAATGAAACATTTGCAGGCTCTGGATCTCCTTAAATATTGCTATTGCTTGTTTTTGGCCTTAATGGGGGAGCAGCATGATGTGTCTGTCCTTCTCAATGTGGTCGGAGTCTCCTAAAGTTGTGCGGGTGAATGCGTGACGTTCCTGGGTGGCTGCCAGGGCCCTCCTGCTTTGATGCTTTCTGCAGGGCAGCAGGAGCGGAGGCCAGGAGGCCTCCGGCTGCGTGGGAGGTGTTTGTGGAGGAGGCATTGACCACCAGTTCAATTTTCCCCTCCAGTTTGACCAACCGTGTCAGAATGTCATCCAGCAACACAGCTATAGTCCTCTTCAGATCGGCTGTCGTGTGCATGCGAGGGAGGGGATGGAAGAAGAGATTCACAAAAAAATCTATAAGTAAATGCTTTTTCAAAAGTAATAGAAACATAAAGCCCAACATCCTTCTGTGGTTACTTACCGTAACCTGCCATGGAGGTTCCCTGTGGCCCGCTCGGTGAGTTCTGGTTCTCCTCAGTCAGGACTTTGACATATCGCCGGCTCAGTTCCAGGATTTGCTCTCGCAGTTCAGCGCTGCTTTGATGGCGAGGCTGCTGCACGGTGTAGCGCAGCAACATGAGTCCCCACGCCAGGCCGAACACCAGCAGCAGCAAACTCAGCTTCTGGGACATGTTCCTGCGCAGTGCCCCCAGCATGGTACTGGGGGGGGTGGTGGGAGGCAGGGAGGGAGGGAGGGAGGTAAGGATGCCCCGTCAGAGGCTCAAGGTTTGGTCTCAGATGTGAAGTTCTCTTCCCTGCTGTCCTTTTTTTCCACAGAAAGGCCAAATGTCAACATCTTCTACACAGCAATCCTTAAAACATCCTGTACCCTTTGGAGTGGATTAAAAAATGATGAGCAAAAGCAGAAACCAGGAAATGAAACCTGACGTCAAACCAAAAACTTTAAGCAGCAGCACTCAGGGAGTTTTGGGCAGATCCTCTGGTTGCAAGATTGTGTGCACCAAATCACCTACGCAGATAAGAAGATCAGGCCGGAAGTCCCCAGACATTGTCGACTGTGACAGAGAAGAACACATAATGGAAACAATTAAAAACTTAAAAAAGTCGGGGAGTAATTGAGAAGTTTTAATGATATTTTTTGCACTGTCAGTGTCGTGATTAGGGAAAAAACAGAATACACACAAATGAAAACAAAAAACCTTCAGATCTAATGTCTGGAGCTTTGTATCTTGTGGTTTTAATTCAGAATGACTGCAGGGAATGAATTAAAGCAACAATTTCCAAGTCACACACACACTACAGTGCACTGTATGCACCAAATCAAATTCTTCTTTATTAGTGAGGAGCTGGAGGCCACATCAAAGTGGCTTCCTGGACTATTTAGCTATTATTAGACGGATTTCTTTGCTGCTTCAGTTTATGTTGCTCAATAGACCGCTCATAATAAATCTCTTTCAGTCCTCTTAGCCCAGAAACCTGATTACTAGTTTAGATTTCATAGGACCTACTTTTTCAGCCTCAGAAAGCAGACAAGGCACCAAACGGTCAGAGTGCTCTCGTCCTGTGTGCATACCGCTATTCTGACGAATAGGAGATGGATGGCAAGGTGCTAATATACAGAAAATTTGGCAATCGTTTCTGAGGTTGCACAACTTTGTCATCGAGTTAATTCTCCCATCTGTCTTGGGCGTGGTAGTGTCATTTCCTATTCGAAAGAGGACAGTGACTGGAGAGTAAATAAGTTATGAAAAGAGAGGTAACACAATCTAGGAAGGGATGCTCCCCACACACACAAACATGTCCTTTCTGTGACCTCAACCAAACTATAACATTAGCTGACAGGAAAGAAAGAGAGATAAGAGAGCAAGAACTTTACAAAAGAACAGAAGAAAGTTTTGGTGGCAAAGTCACTTCAGAATGATATATAGAATAGATATATGTAGAATGAACTTTGCTCAATCACATTTATAGATGGGAGCAAAACCACTCAACAAAGATTAAGCCAAATTCTACAATGTGTAAGATACATGGATCTTTTACAGTTTTCAGGCTGAACTTAAAGCTCCCCGTTGACAGTGTTTGCTCTTCAATCAGTGAACAAAAATTGCCAGACTTTATGGAGATTCTTAACAGTCTGCAAAGCGTGTCATCTGACTCAAAGTTAATCTTTTGACTATATAAACAAATACAAAACTGTGCAAGCTCGTTGTGAATTAGTCTGATATGGCACACCATATCTGTCAAATTACAAGTTAAATAGTGACTTCGGCAGCTTCCCCACCTCCTTCTGCCCCTCATGCTTATCTTAACTGTGAGCCTAAACGCAAATGTTAGTTATATATAGGTGTTAAAAGTATGGATAAGTCTGAGCTAGTTTAGCGTCCCCGTTACTCTTGTCCCAGTCGCAGATAATATATCTGACGAGAAAATGGCTCATTACACGATGCCAGTTTCAAGTGAAGGGCAAATATCTTAATTAACGCGCAACACAATGATAGCCGCTGTTAGATAAAGGTACGACTTTTTTCCTCTTATAAGACGCTAATTAAATATTGGTAACAGCTGCTCGAGCGTAGCTGGAGCTGCCTCCAACTTATCGTCTCGCTAGCGTGTCGTGCTAGCTTTCAAACGTTCCGACCACTAAGTCAACTAAAAGGCAACGTGTTATCAGCAAACATGAAATGGCTTTCAAAAACTCCCACATGGTCCTACCGTGTGTGTCGAGAGGCAACATGGACTGTGAAACGGATATGTACAGGCTGCAGAGGAGCTGGGGCGAGACGAGCTCCAGCAGATATCGCCGGCTGAGATGTTTCTGCCAGCCCGGGGATGTTGTCGTTACCGCCGGGACAGCCCGCTATTTCCGGTGAAGTATTAGAGATAATGTCACGGCCAATCTTCTATCGGATACGCTTTTCGACGTGTTTTTCATTTCTTAATATTTGGTTACTGTTACAGCAAAAAAAAAGAAAAGAAAAGTCGGTAGCTTTCATTGCAACTCTGCATTTGTGCTGACTGTCATGGTTCCTTTGAACGTTTTCAGTTTGCGTCACACAACTGAATTATGGGAAATGTATTCATAATAAAATGATTTACTATTAAGCGTTTTAAGACCACAATTCGCGTATAAAAACTGTAATCTTTATCACTATGAACAATTTAGCTATAGGTGGATCCTAAAAACTATCATATCCACGTTTTAAGCTGTAAATTGTGTGTAGAGGTTGACAGCCTTTATATTTTGTTTGAATTTGGGTAGTTCAGATTACGCCCGTTAGGCGGACGTCTAAAACCATCTCCATGGCTACCGCAAAGCTTCCGGTAAACAGAGGTTTGCTCCACGGTGCAAGATAAAAAGCTGACGCTGAATTTGGTTTTGGATTTCTGTCAATGGAAACCGTACACCTCGATCAATCAGCTTTGAAAGCGGTGGATGACTACTGGGAGTACAAACGGTTTGTACCAACACTGATCAACGTGTTTGTCTCATGATTGGATTTCCCGTCCACTCCCGCAGATGTTAAGAGTGTATAGAGTGAAGAGTAAATAAATCCATTTCAGGGACAAGCACACCATCTTGTTTGCATGCTGTGGGTTACTGTTACAACTCCTCATAGATTTGTTTTTTTTTTCTTTTCAAGGATTGTGGGTGATGATGACGGTGGGAAATTGTTCACTCCAGAGCAATATGAGGAATACAAGAGGAGGGTTCTCCCTCAACGAGTTAAAAACAGGCTGTATGTGAGCTTTGGCGTACCAGGGGGCATTGACTGTAAACTGATTGGCCCTGAGACACAGTGTTTTTGCTCTCATAGGTGAGACATCACTTCGCCACATGCTCAGCTAGACATCCTTCCCTCATAAATCCAAACAAATACAAGTGCAAATTTAAATCAACCAGGTACAAGGAGCATAAGACTGAATGGGAGTTGGTTCCCACTGAGAGACCCTTGCTCCTTCCTTGCGAGGTCAGAGGGTGTCACTGTTCAGCCTTCCACTATGTTCCTCGACTTGGACCGAACCCCGTGCGCTGCATTTGCAAGCATTTGCCTCAGGATCACAGGGAAGTCATGAGCCACTTGTGCAAGTTGTGTAAGTCTCACGTTATACATTTGCAACCCAAATGAAGCTTTGCATGATATCCAGACTGGATTCGATTGTTTTGCTTGTTTCCTCCGATTTTTCAGGCGACTCCTGCCCCGGGTTCCAGAGTCCCTACACCTGTGGCTGTGGCCAGCCCTGCTCTGCCCACCAGACTCTGGTGAGCGGCCTCAAACATCAAGCATTGCTGATGCGTATTTGACAAAAACCTGATTCTAGAAATGAATATACAGCCATCATAGCAGTTGCCATATTCCATCCCCATCTGTTTCTCACAGGTTGAGACAAGACAGGAAAGAGAGGCACGTGGTCGTCCAGTTGGCAGAGATGTCCCTTATGCTGCCATGGGAGGACTGACAGGGTTCAGCTCTTTGATGGATGGTTACCTCGCGTTGGAAGCCAGTTGCTCTGGTAAGTGATTTTTTGGACACTTGCTCTGAACAGTAGAAGTACACACTCAACACATGTACTGTATTGTCATGAAGTATGCCACCATCTGGCTGGATAACTCCATTTACTAGCAGTCAGGTGAAGTAGCGTCAACTCCTGACCAGAACAGAGATTTCTTCCAGGAATCTGTGTTTAGGTGGCACAGTCTTTATTAGGATGCTGCTCATCTGTGGGGAAAAGTTCCTTTGAGAGGCATGAGAGGGCAGCAAAGAGCAGCACAGTGTCTGCGTTAGTTCTTATGTGTGGGTCAAAACCTTGTTAGCACACTGACTGTTTGTGATGGTGGTGTGTGAACAACAAACATAAAACCAGTCTTACCCCAAGATATCATCTCTGCCATTTCAAGAATAAAAATAGTCTTTAGAAATACAGTTAATTGAATATTTTGTCAAAATTTGTAATATCTGTAAGGCATATTTGACCTCTTATGAACTCCAAGTCTGTTTCACAGGTGATTTAATGTGTGCTGTGTTTTTAATTGAATCTTTTATCATCAATATGCTTCAAATATAAAAAAATGTAATGAAAAACATGAACTGAGTTGTAACATTTAGCATATTCCTTACAATTCTGAATCCATATGATAAATCTTGCATTTATGTATGATTCATATGTTATATGAATTTTCTGGGAACAGCATGAAATTGTATCCAATGAAAATTTAACCTTCGGTTAGGGAGGTGGCATACCATTGACTATAAACCTTTGTGAAATTCACAACATTTTCTGTAGGTTGCTGTCACATTTGATTTCAACAGTCGCTGTGGTATCTTTTTCAGATGACGACAGAGGCAGTCGCCGCCCGCAGAGTCTCTCAGCATCCAGGACCAGCCAAACGTCCAATAAAACACCCAGCTCCGTTCCCTTTAAGACAGAGCCCGACAAACACTAAAATGCAACACTGTCCTCAGCCTGTCGGATTCTTCATTATTTGTTTGACAATTAAGCTTATGCTTTTTACTCCTCATTCTCTCCACTGAAGTGTCTGTTTCTATAAGCTATTCAACTAATCAGCCAATCAAACATCTGAGAAGAGCAAAATCAGTCAGAGATTTGATGTACACATAGTGTGACGGTCTTCTTTTATAAAACGTTTCAATGGACAGCACATATCTTAAAGTTGATGATTTGTAAATTACTCATAATTGATACAAATTCCCAGAATTAACGTAATTACTGTAGTTGTTGTGGCCAAGACAAAAACTTAACCAATTTCATGTATTTCATTTTCAATTAATTTGTCATATACCCCTACATGTTCTGTAAACTGGTCAGTTTACTCATCTACAGTTTGTTTGATGTTTTGTGGTGTGAAAGCCACCCACTCAACATGCCACAAAAATAACACCAGAACTATAAAGGGGTGCGTTCCGGGATGAGTGCAGTTTTTAATCTGTGGGTAAATGTGCTCTCTTCCACTGATTAATCCCATTTCTCACGGCAGATCAGCAGTGATGAGAGCTGTTTTATTCCATGTGTGGAATGGAGATTGAGGAAGATCATGTTTTCTCCACTGGCAGCCCAGTTCCCAACATCTTTCCCTCAGAAACACAATTAACCAGGATCCAAATGAGGACGTACTCCCACTCAGTAGTTTCCTCTGCAGAGATTGCGAGTCGGACTGGATCAGTATTTATGCCGGTGCCGGCCGGTTCACCTGGTGACGCCTGTGTCATAACGCTGAAGAGATATTTGCGGGAAATCAGTGTGTTCACCTTTGTGAGTGTGTGTGTTGCTGTGCTGAGCAGGTGGTCTTGAATCAAAGTACGAAACGCTTTGCCTCAAGGATGTCAGTGATGCACCTGTGTCTCTGGAGCCAAGTGCTGATGAGCCAGCAGGTCAGTGGCGATCGCTCCTGAAAGCTGGCGCTTCTGATTCACCGTGCATCTATGATGTCCAACATATCAGGCTGCCCCAAGATAAACAGTCCTAATGGCTTACGCACTCCAAAATTGGCTATCCAAAACAGTTTTCCTCACCTTCTGAGTTGATCATCCTTTAAAGAAACACTCTTCTGCTTATTCCGACTCACTCCGGAGCTTTTCCTTACTGAATGAGAGTGGGTGGAGTGCATGGGATATATGCGAGGGGAGAAAGAGTAAAAAGCCAATCAACTTAAGATTTAAAGGCCTGACACATTAGTCTGGCACAATTTCAATTTAGGTTAATTGCGTCTCCATAGCAACATTGAAAAGGTGGCTACAGGTAATTTACTTTAGATACTGGTGAAAGTGAATGACTACTATACTTCCCTTATCCCCATGGAAACTCCATCCAGCTTGACTGGCAGTTTTGAAAATGAAGACACAAGCAAAAGGGATTAAATTGCCAATTAGTGCACAAAAAAACATTTAATTACCCCTGTGACAGATTCGGTAGGTAAACACTGACAGAACTACAGACAAGTTTGTTTTGATTTCCCCACAGACAGATTGACATAAACAAAAAAATTAAAAAGTAACAAAATAATCAAATCAGGGTACCAAGAACCAGAAGACAAACTCACCTGGTCTGTTTAGACATCCATTGATCACTATTAATCACGGTGGAAGGAAACTTCAGTCCACAATAGATGATGTCATCCATTCATGTTCAGATGGGTCAGTTGTTCGTGTGGCGTGAGGGGGAGCGTTCGCATAACTAAACAGGTGGTCTTAGTGTGGATGGTCACTTGTGACATCTTATGCAAACCAGATGAGCGCACAGTCAAAAGCTTTTTAATGTAACAAACTAAAGCAATGAGTTCATTCATTTTATCAACCTCTTGTTTCCTTTAAACAAATCGCAAACCTGCCACTACGGACATATTTAGATCCAAGACTGGTGAGAGAGAAGCATCTGTTCACAAATATTTTCATCTGGAAACTGAAATAAACATTAATTAAATCATCTGTTGTTAAAGCGTCTTTATCCCAGATGGATTTTTTTTTTACGTCCCAACATCATGATTACAATGCCTCACTTTCAGCAAATGTATTAATTTCTCCTGGCGTCTGGGAATGAAGGCATTATGTGTTCTTTGTCAGTGCATCTGTGTGCTCAGAAAGTCATTCATTATGCATCCTTCTGCATGATTAAAAACCATAAATCTGGAAATGTCTTCAATTTATCACAAAAGATATTGGATGCAGTCCGTGGCTGATTGATGGTGAATGTAAATGTGCTCTGACATGAATACAGGACGCTCTTGAGAATCCGTGCTTACTAATGCTTTCTAATCCATTAGTTGGTCGGCCTTAAGCACACATTTACCCTCCATTATCGGGCTTCTCGTTCATGATGGCACCTTTAGCACTGGAGCTGGTAATATATTCACCCAGCTTTGTCAGTGGTTATCACATCAACTGTTCTGAGCAGCACGCCAAATTGATAAAAAGCACTGATAAAAATTAATTCAGCCGCGATGTTAAGCATGATTTGTTAGGAGTGATGTCCACTATTTTTGTGCATTTATGTTCACCTGAATAGATCTTCCACTCAATGTAAAAGCAGGGAAGTTTTCTTTTCAATGTAATATTTTCATTGATTTAGATTCAAATAACATCTCATCTCAAGCAACGTCACTCAATGAAAACATGCCAAATACTGAATCTATTTTAGGGCACCTCAGGTATAGCAGTGATGCATTGAGACTGCTGCTGTGTGCCACAGGTCAGAGCAGTTATCACACAAAAGTTTAGCATCTTTTGATGGGGTTACAAGTTTGAACAGTTTTGCTAATATTAAAGCACAGGGCCGTTGACCTCGACACCTGAGCCAATCCGTTCTGTCACAGCTTGGTAGCAAAACCATCAGTTCATCTGTCCGTCAAAACAACTTGTATATTGTGAACCTGGACGTGGCATCTGTGCTGTCTTCCCCCCCAGAAGCAGATGAGACACATTTCCGAACAGACAGAGACAGACGCATGCTCACCTAAATGGGAAGTGACAGAAAGCAACTCTGAGAGGAGAGGTACGGAGAGGGTAATGATTGCCGAGACCAGACAGCTCGCCTCTTAAAGAAGTGGGTGTTTAATTAGATGATCTGAAAACCTGTTGAGGAAACGATGTCCTTGTTGTGCTTGCTTTACATTAGAATGGGGATAGGGATTTTATTCCCTTTTCTATCTTATTTTTATATCGTCTGAAAGTTGCTCGCAAAAAAATTGAATGGACATTGAATGTAATGTCAAATCTAAAACACAGAACTATCAATTATACACAGAAATTATTCCCGAGGTCCTCAAATGACAAGTTGAAGTCACCAGTCCATCAAACCAACATTGAGAATGAAAAACCATGCATGCTCACTACTTCTGTCACTTTTCAAACACCAATTAACTCAACATGAAGCTTTTTTGGATGTTGGGAGGTAACTGAGTGGAGAACCAAAGGAAAGTGCATGCACAGGGAGAACTTGCTAACTCCATGCAGAAGTCGTCCAGCTGGGATTTGAACCAGGAACATTCTTGCTGTGAAGACACTTTCTTCATTTGACCTCAGTTTTAAACTCTGACTATGGACATTTGGAAATCAACAGTTCCACTCATGTCAGATGTTTTTTAACACAATTCAATAGATTTCATATGAAGATCATTAAAAAAGAAATGTAAAACAATATTTAAGTACAAGCAATTAAGATCAAAAGTAATTTTGCACATGCAACAGCTATATGAATATCATAAATACATTAACAGCTTTTAACAGATCATTGAAAGAGCTCATAGAACACAAGCTAGCTGGCAAGTCTTGGTTGAATATGAATACTGTGAGAAATAGTTATTAAATGAGTTGGCGTACGTTTAATTAATCCACCTGTGAAACATTTTCTTTAGATATCAGCTTGTCTCCTTTGTACTTTAAATTCATTTGTGTCTGTTTGTGGTCTCATTTCGGGTCCAGAGAACTAAACAAAGTAAGAAATAACAAAGCAAATTGGGAGGAATCCATGCTCAAGAGACTGTGTTTATGGCATTTTTCTTTTGCAAATGGTGGTTCCAGCCCACTCCAAGTCAGAGATTGCCAGCATAACACAATAGGGTACCATAGTAAGTAACAATTTAGATGTCAGTGTGAGTAAAAACGGTGTGATAGCCTAAGAGAGAATGAAGCTACACGAGAGTTGGCCTCTTCTCATTCCTATCTGTTTGCAATCAGATGCAAAAAATCCACTCAGCCTGCTTGTTAGTATTTCCATTACACTCGTTCAGAGTGTAAATTTGAAAAGTGTGATTCACAGCAACAGAGAATTACAGGCCCTTTCATCTTAACAAATCTTGGCGAGGAACTTATTGTCGAACCAGGACACTAATGAGAGGAAAACACATTTGCATTTAAAAAGCTTGCTCTCCAAAGCAGTCCGTGTCCACAGAACTGATTTCTGATAAGGCTAAAATCTCCAATTGATAATTTGTGCAATATAAGCTCAAAGGTGCTGCATTTGCATCAATCTGTCACTGTGAGATTAATTATGAGAGTTTGATCTGTCCACCTGACACATCAGACACTGGTGCACATGACTGCTATCATTATAAAATCCCTGATGTTCTTCGTGATAATGTTTATTGAAAATTATAACCACATTTCCTGCTGAGTAAAAAGAATAAGGCCCTGCTTTCTCAAATGTGGAGCAGAGATCCAACAGGTTAAAATCCAACTTTATCCGTCTGAGAATTGAATGATCATGAATCAAGAGATTATTTAATGGAATAACGTTGCATTGGACAAACATGGATCACTTCCTGTTGTTGTTTTTTATGGCTACAACAACTGATGATTTGTTTTCCTTAACAGTAAGCTTAATAGAAATACAAGCGTGTTTCTGATTGTCTAAAGACTATTATTCCAACACTGACACAAGAATACTGTTCATCTTGGTTCATAAAATCTTTTGCCTGCTGTTAACTGACAGATCATTTGAGTGTGTGATTTTGAAGGATGTGTCATATACATTCTAGCACTATTTCAAGATATTTTTATGAGATTTCAAACACTCAGCTGGTCAGTTGGTTGACCCCCTTTGATCAGGTCTCAAACATTTCATCTCTTGGGGATTTTAGGCCTCAACCAGACTAGCTTTACCTTTGTGAGGTCCATGTGTGAGTTATCTCAAAGCTGCATGACTTGGTTTTGATTTACTCCTTTGATACCATTTAAAAGAAAAACAATCTGGGCATTCTGAGGGGACATGTTTGGTCTTCATCAAAAATGCTGCAACTGTCCCATTTTCCTTAAAAGAGATGTGATTCTATTTACAAAGTTAAATCAAACCTGCGTGAACTTGTCATCTTTGTCCACGTGTTTATGTGTCTCCTTCAGTCACATCCAGGGGTTTCAAGCTGCTTGTTAACAATGATGACATACCTGTTGAACTGAGCCTCTGAGTGTGCATGTGTCCCCTGAAGAGGATTAGAAATTCTGATTCCTGCCTGTGATCGTGCCGATTCGGTCCTGACTTTGTGCCGCGCAGTCTTTCACTTGTGTCGCATCGCTCTTTTCCCTCTTGACATCCTGTGGAAGACAAAAAGCACTCAACACATCCTCTGAGCAACTTAAAAAGCTGCGCCGCTGGAGACTGCTGATTTAGACAGATTACACGGCTGCAAGCTGCCTTACAAAAAGATTATGAATGGGAGGTAAATGAAGCACTTGGTGATACAGATTCATTTGAAGTGCTATTTGGGTTTTCTTATTAAGTGGGCTTCTTGGAGCTCTTCTTTGGTTGATGCGTCTCCGTGTTCACATTTAGGCCTTTTGTCAACGTCAAGAGTCCCAGTCTCTTTCCCCATCTTATGGAATGAGCTACAAAATGAAATTAGTGGACTAATTCAGTTGGGTACGCGTGAGTCAGTTTGAGATCTTTTTATTCCAGCTCAGCCGAGGCGTCGTGGTAGGAGCTTCTTTTGGTGAGAAAGGCGCGTATACAGAAGATTCATTTGAAGTTCACCCACAGTGATACATCACCACCATCCTTTTGGGACTTCAGATGGGATTGTTGATCTCATTATGAAGAATCGCTACTTGATTGTAAAACTGTTCAGAACCTGTTCTCTCTAAAAAAAAAAGGAGATGCCACAAACATCAAAACAGCCCTCTCCTAATCCGTGGCTGTGTGTGTGGAGTGTGTCTCTTTCTGCACATGCTGAATGTAAAAAATAATCAAACAGGATTTTTCTACTTTATGTGAAAAGCAAACAAGTTATTTCAGTGATATTCAAAGAGAACATGTGGAATCGCAGGTCGATATAAGTCTGTCTTTAGAACTTCTTGCTGTGGAGAAAAGTTTGAATTGGGATGATCTACCAAAAGGCCACTGAATGGCAAGGTCCCCGAAAATATCCCCTTTGGGCATGTTGGGAGCGAGGCTGGTTTAACTTTTTCTATTTCTAGCTTGCATTGTTATTCTTGGTGTCGTTTAGAATAATGGAGGAAAATGTGCACACACACATAGCTCGCTAATGACAGCATCAGCAGTGACGTTGACGCGAAGAAAGGCGAAGATCAGGGCAGAAGTGTGCGCAGCTCTGACGCGTTTTTCTGCACATATAAACGGCGACGCGCACCAAGCGCTCAGAAAAGCAAAGGAGACGCCACAGGACAGCGCGCAAACCACTCCGCAGACCTTTGGAAAATGTAAGTTTCTTTGTTATTTGACAAAAAATGCATGCGTAATCACTGAAAAGTACTCGCAATTTAAATGACTTTTTTGTTCTTCTTTTCTTTAGAAAAAAGATTGGTTAATTAAAAGGTGTTTGATCAATTAACCTTAACATTGCAGACTAGCAAACTTTTAACTTGGATGATAAATGCAGCAATAAATAGAGATACTTTTTTTTAACTAAATGGATCAATGGTTGGCACAGTGGACCAACAATAATGATGTGACATGGACTGTTTGTGCTTTTCTGTGCCAGATGCATCCTAACTTGATGAGCTGGCTGGGGACTCTGGGGTTCCTGCTGTGCGCGCTACTCTGCCTGGGAGCCTTTACGGAGGGATATCCAGTGAAACCGGAGAACCCCGGCGAGGACGCGCCGGCGGAGGAACTGGCCAAGTATTATTCTGCCCTGAGACACTACATCAACCTCATCACAAGACAGAGGTGGGTGGACTAATTAAACTTCTCTGGAAGAATAGAATAGAATTAACCCGTAGACCCTGAAACTAATTAAGATTAATTTAGTCTGACCACTTCAATAATCTATTTCCTTTCTTTGCATCTATTTTACTTTTATTCTGTTAGTTCACTGATGAGTACAACGAGATTAAGTAAGGATAGATAGATAGACAGATAGACAGATAGATAGATAGATAGATAGATAGATAGATAGATAGATAGATAGA